ACACAATTATACTTAAACATGAAAGCAATAAACAAAAACTAAAAATTCTTGAAGCTATATACATAAAACAGTTGAAACCTAACCTGAACAAAATAAACTATGAAATCTCCACAAATATTCTTAAATGCCTATAATTGGTAACAGAAGTCATTGGGTTATACTTATATTAATACTTCTCGTTACACTCTCGCGTGGTCATGTGTGACATCATGAGCTGCAGTGCAATTTTCGCTTCCAGCGTATTATATGCACGAGTTTGTCGTTGCTTGGGAATCTTCCATGTAAACAGAAACAGCTTATCATCACTGACTTGTCCGTGTATTGCTTAATATATTGTAATGTAATTGTCATCTTTGATAATGGCTTATGTAAGCCGAAAGCTTAGATAGGATTAAAAAAATATGTATCAATATTGTGATTTTCTTTCATCTTTTAATGATAATGTTATTAAGCTTATGAAACGATATGAAAATAATTTACATAAAATAAATAGACAACACTTGTCTATATTATTTAATGAAACATGTATCAATGAAAAAATGCTGCCTAAATACACACAATTTATATATATATATATATATATATATATATATATATATATATATATGTATGTATATATGGATGTATGCATGTATGTATGAGCGAGAGAGACAGACAGAGAGTCTGTTGAAAACCTCCCAATCTGAGCAAGAAGCCATTCCAATGAGACATATAGAATTTGATTTCAAATTAATTAAATTTTAAGCACTGGATTGGTTCGAGCAATTTTCACCGCCAGCTCATCTATATATCGAGTGACGGAAAATAAAATACCACTGTATCAGTATTTATTAAGCATTCAAAGTACAAGTAATATGATTGGATTGTAATATATAAATCAATACTTTCTCAAGCCCCGCAATACAATATTTAACAACCTTCCATAAGACATGTAAGTAATCCGCAGGATACCCTCCTTGTGCGTCAACACAAGCCTTTATTCTTGCATACATGCAATCTTACAGATTGTGAATATCACAATGTCAGTGAGACCAAGTGTTGTAGTGTAGTTTTCACAGTGGAGGCTTGTATTTCACTAAGTCGTCCTAAATTAGGTTCGACGTACAAAACGCTAGGAACTTGAAATAAGAGTTAATGACGCAGCAATCTAGTTGTGATGGTTGATACTTCAATGTCCGACATCGACTGACTCACTCCACTCCACTGAGCTCAACTGGCGAACGCTACTATTACGACTACTTATTATGTGTGGGAGAATCTATTAATAATAGAATAGGTACGTTCAGGTATGACATCCCCTCCTAAAACTTTACTCCGTAGGAGTAAAAAGTTTTATTTATTTATTTATTTTTTTTTTAGCAACATCGTAGCGTATCTCCTACGTTTTGGGTCCACTTTTACAGTATCAGTTGCCTTTCTTTTTCTCCTGGATCGGCGTATCTCAGGTGAAATCGTTGCAGGCATAGTTAGATCAAACGTATTGAAAATCACCTCCATCGGCGTTTCTTCCGCGGGACCGCTGTCAAACACGTCTGAAGCACGTCGTCTGATCTGGTTAATGTGCCTTCTGCACGTGAATTTTTCGCCTTTCACCAAGTACATCATATTGGCAATCCGCTTTTCTATTTTTCATTTTTTTTTTATATATCTCCAAAGCGTTACCAGAAACAACCTTCCGCTTTGAATTTCTCAAAGATGGACTCACAGTTTCTGTAGGTTCTTCTTGTTGACTTAAATCATTTAATAATACTGCATGTCCTTGGCTGCGGGTAACTCCTTCCCCAGTTTTTTTCGGTGTCGGCTTCATTTTTAATTTCTGGAGCTTCTTTTCTTTATATATTGTCGGTGTTACCCATTCAACTTTTTAAAATATACCCGTTTTCTCTAATCTGTCCAATTCTTTATCTATCTGTTCAATTGAAGCGAACGGCACATTCCTTTTCTTTTTGAATACCGCCTGAGCGTTTTCTTTTAGTTGGAATTTTGCCTCCATCTTGGTACACGTTCCCAAACCTGGAGAAAAAACAGTAGGTAATGTTTCCTTAAGTTTTCTAACTAATTTTTGGGCTTCGCAGTTTAAATTTTCCACCTTATAGTAGAAAGAATTTATTGGTAAATCCCATAATTGAAATTCTGTTATCCAATCCGTACCAAGTCAGTTCGTGGTATTTTCTATGACATAGTTTAGCTTTACGCGTTTTTTTATTTAACGTGACGTTTGTAACAAATTCTCCAATAAATTGTATTTTTTCTCCCGTCACTGACCTCGCGATTTTATTTGTTTTCATTAAAGTTGGTTCCCCCAACTTCTTCCACGTATTCAAATTTATGATAGATAGGTCGGAACCAGTGTCGAGTTGCATTTTTATTTTTTTTTATTACTTATTTCGACGGTAACAAATTTTCTAGTTATTCCGTCGTTCACTTCGTCGGACTTTAATTTTCTTATTTTATTGTCTTTATTTTTTGACCTGCAGTGCGAGTTTTTATGCCTCACTCTTTCACAGTTGAAATATTTTTTTATTCCTAAAATTGCAATATCTGTACCAGTGAAGTTCACCGCAAGCAAAACATGGCTTCGGGAGTTTTTGTTTATTTTTCTCTGGTATTTCACTTTTTGTTAATCCGCAATTTTATAATTCTTTTTGGTAGATTGACTTTCTTTTTTGTAGCGTATTTTCCTTACTTGGGAAACGCCAGACTGTTCTATCTTTTTCGAGTCTTTCTTTACGCTAACATATCTTGTGCAGTCTTCTGCCAAACTCTGTATCGTAATACTTTGTTGGTTTTCCAATTTTGAAAGTAGCAATTTCCTCAATTCTGCGTCTCTTTCTGATACTAGACCTTGAACAAATACTAAGCACTTAAAATTGTCAGCGCTTAAGTCTGCTAGCTTGAATTCTTCACAATGCTTGTTCACATTGGCTGCATACGTTATATAGTCTTGTTCTTCCTCTTTCATCAGATTCAAACATTTCCACCTCTTGTGAAACAAAGATGTCTTTTTACTAAATAATTCACTTAATATATTTACCGCCTCGGTAAAAGTCAACTCGCTAGTTTTTTTTCGGTAAAATGTAGTTTACCAATTTGTTATGCTCAGCAGTTCCTAACTTGCTTAAAAGAAGTCTAACCTTCTTTCCTTCAGACCACGAGTGGCAGTCCTCGTTATACACGTCCGTATATTTTTTAAAATACTCTTCAAAAGTTATCTCTTCGTTTGGACTGTACGTGAATATTTCAATCGAATTCCATATTGTATTCTCTGGGAAAGAATCATTTTGTAGATTTTTCTCTTTCCTCTTCTCAGTTATTTCCAGAATTTTGTTTTGAAACTCCTTATGCATCAGTTCCATTTCTCGTTGAAATTGAATCTGTCTATTAAAAGTTTCCTACTGTAGTTGTATCTGGAATGTTTTCTGTTGCTCCAATATTGTCATTTGTTGTTCCGTCTGGAACTTTAAAATTCCTGGAATATATATTTGCATTCCTCCATCTTCGCAAAAAGTTTACACAATGCTTAAATATTGTAGAGGGGGGGGTCCAAAACGAATTTGTAATTCGTGACCTATTTGAGCAAACTGTCTTATCGAGAAAAAAAATTTTCTCAGTTGAGAATACGACTGATTTTTTCGTCACTAAGTTGACGTCTTGTCTTTCGAAAAACTTTTCCAAATTTTCTTTTTTTTTTAAATGTGAATCTGAGATGTTGTGGTCGAAAATTTGACGAGCAAATTTTTTTTCATTTTTCCTCCGCATGGAAATGAATAACGTGACGAGCGAAATTTATTTTTTTCACTGTATGAAACGCCACGTTTTTTATGGCGGGTTACATTTTTTTTCTCTTCTGTATGAGTTACGAATCCACGTCGTCAAGTGTTGTAGAGTGAACGCAAAGTTTTTTTTTCCGTATGAATCCAAAATACGTTCGTCGCCAAGTGTTGTGTATGGCGAAACGATTTTTTTTCTTTCTTTAATTTTTTTTTTTTTTCGTATGAATTTCGAATTCTGGTCGCCAATGTGTTGTTATAGAGTGAACGAAAACTTTTTCTTTTCCCACATGAATTACGAATTCCTCGTCGCCAATGTGTTGTAGAGTAGTTTTCAAAGTGGAGGCTTGTATTTCACTAAGTCGTCCTAAATTAGGTTCAACGTACAAAACGTTAGGAATTTGAAATAAGAGTTAACGACGCAGCAATCTAGTTGTGATGGTTGATACTTCAATGTCCGACATCGACTGACTCACTCCACTCCAATGAGCTCAACTGGCGACCGTTACTACTACTACTACTTATTATGTGTGGAAGAGCCTATTAATAATAGAATAGGTACGTTCAGGTATGACACCAAGTAAGATAGCAATTTCATTTGCGAGGAGTTAAAATTTAAAAGCCACATCTTTCCTCAGTTACCAACATACTATCTTTCACTATCCTATAGTTATCAAACAAATCAATACGCAAAGCAAAGGACTTTAACTTATTTTAAAAGCCACAAGAATAGGATCAAGGATCGAAGTCAATACCTAATGATTCCTGGTTAACTAGATTATCACTATGACATCACGCCGAATTAAATTAAGATTTGAAAAAGTTAACCGGAAATGGTAACCAGTGAGGATTGAAGGTATCGATTCCATGCTGCTGTTGCTTTTCGGTAACAATGTTTAGTTTAGAGTAACTTCATTCAAACAGTTCGTTTTATAATGCAGGATGACAGCTGCCATATAAGACCACACATTTTAAATTTTCAAAATCGGCGAGGTATATTCTTACTAAAATTGAAGATGGAAAAAATAATATTGTGGCTGCTTCAAAGGAGGATAAAAATGAATCTCAAGCAGTAAAAAGAACTTATCAGTATTTTCGAAAGAATGTACAGGTAATAAAGTGTGATGGTTACGTAAATGTTGTCGAGATTAAAAGTGTAAACGTCAAAAGGAGTTGGAATTTCTATTCAAGCCTTCTAAAAATGAAAGGTTTCAATTATTGCGAAATTGCTCAAAAATATTGGTCAGTGACATCTAATGGGCGAAAAAATAATAAGTAATAGAAAATAAGAAAAATCGATAGGAAAGAGACATTGGAAGACAACAAAATAGAAGTGAAAAGAAGAAGGAGAAAAAAAGAAAGTAGACAATAAGGACGACCGAAGAGAGAGATTGCCAGAGAGAGATTGCGAGAAGAGCAAAATGTGGGAAGAAGAAAAAAAGAAGTAGAACGATCGATAGGAAAAGAGAGATTGGGAGAGAAGCAAAATGTGGAAAGAAGAGGGAAAATCGAAGTAGAAAATAAGGACGATCGATATGAAAGAGAGATTAGGAGAAAAGCAAAATGTGGAAAGAAGAGGAAAAGGGATGTAGAAAATAAGGACGATCGATAGGAAAGACAGTTTGAGAGAGAAGCAAAATTTGGAAAGAAGAAGAAAAAAGGAAGTAGTAAATCATGATGGCCGATAAGAAAGAGAGATTGGGAGAGAAGCAAAATGTGGGAAGAAGAGGAGAAAAATGGATGTACAAAATAAGGACGATCGATAGGAAAGAGAGATTGGGAGAGGAGCAAAATGTGGGAAGAAGAGGAAAAAGGAAGCAGAAAATAAGGACGACCAACTGAAAGAGAGATTGGGAGAGAAGCAAAATGTGGAGAGAAGAGGAAAAAGGGATGTAGAATATAAGGACGATCGATAAGAAAGAGAGATTGGGAGAGAAGCAAAATGTGGAGAGAAGAAGAAAAAAAGAAGTAGAAAATAAGGCAATCAATATGAAAGAGATTTTGGGGTAGAAGCAAAAGAAGTGGGAAGAAGAAAAAAAAAGTAAGTAGACAAGTAAGGACAAAATATACGAAAGAGAAATTGGGAGGGAAGAAAAATGATTGGGAAGTAGAAGAAAAAGGAAGTAGAAAATAAGGACGTTCGATAGGATGTAGAGATTGGGAAAGAAGTAAAAAAATGTGGGGACAAGGAAGAAAAATGTAGTAGAAAATAAGGATAATCGATTGTAAAAGGCGATTGGAAAGAAAAATAAATTTAAGCAGCTATGAAGCTGCTTTCACTTATGTGTTCATACTTTCTCCTCCTTATTCTGAGCTATTTCATATAGGTGTCTTTTTTTTTTTTTTTTACTGTACCTAATTTTTTTCTCATTAAAATATAATAATCATAGTTATTGTTAAGATGAATATTATGACGACCTCCAGCGAAACGAGCGAATTGTAATTGTCTTTCCATTAACATGGTTCTCTCTTCATTCAAATCCCTTAAGTCCTGAAACAGTTTGTACCCCTGACATGTGTGATCTTCGTGCGTCTTTCCCATACAACAGTAATTAAATTTAAATGAAAGCAGTTTAACCACTGACTAACATTTTCCGCCACAAATTGGGTTACAGTTTTATATTCATGAGAAAAACATTTCATGACGCTAACTTTGACAACAACAACAGTTATAATAATAATAATAATAATAATAATAATAATAATAATATTTGCACTATTTACATCGTTCCGACTCTGTTGTCCTCATCTTTATTGTCATACTTACAACGTTTCGGCCGTTGTACGCTCCGACCATCTTCAGGTGATATCCGTTGGATTTATGAACCGAAGCATTTATTTAGAGAATTCTAAATCCGTGTGCCGGACAATTTTTTTTTTTTTTTTTTGCATATCTCAGTTTCAGTTAGTTCTTTTTAGTAACTCAACCCACCTAGTTTGTTTCTTTTTTTGTTTTTTTTTCACCTCTGCTGTGGCCAGGTATTGAACTTATATCTCTTTGCGTCACGTCATTTTTGGAAGACTCAACCAACGCTTTTAAACGTTGTAAATATGACAATAAAGTTACCGACAACAATTCAAACGATGCGAATTTTGTAAATAGTTAAATAGCTCATCTAAGAAATATCGACAGATATAATAATAATAATAATAATAATCTTTAATATTGGAAACATTACAGAAGCAATGAAGAGAAAATAAACTGAAGCTTCTAAGAAGCCTGGCTTTAATATCAATAATTATGTCGATATTTATTTAAAAATAAAAAATAGAACAGAGTATCATAATCTATTTTTCTTGTTCCGTGTCTCTTCAGTAAGTTGGAAATCATGGTCCTCCCCAACATCTAATCACCCGCAGCCTAAAATAAATCAGGTCATATTGGACGTTACTGTATGTCTATGCTGGTTTTGGAAATAGTACTAAGCAAGTTAGCTTATAATACAAACAAAAGGATCCGACTTTTCACATTGTCCTGAAAACCTCCATGTAATTCGACAGCAGACAAAGTACAAAGAAAGAAACACTCTATTAAAAATTACTTATAACTTTTGTTAACGTCACCACATATGCATGAAACCAAATATATTGTGATTCCTAAAGTGGTAGCATTTTATTGCTAATTTCTATTTTTATTTCACATTGACAAGTGCAGTCTAGAATGGCACAACGCCTGACACGACATGAGTGTACTGAGTAGCGTCCTGTCAAAAAATTGGTTAGTCTGTGCTACCATAGATGCTGAAACCATCAGAAATTGTCATTCCAAATTGATGAGCATGGGATATGTGGTAGATAGCCAACAGAAGCAGTCATCTTTCAACATTCAGATTGTAAGAAAATGTGCAAAAGTTACAGAAAATGTTCAAAGATATCCCCAGACAATTTACAAACTCTAGTGGACAACACTGGTACCTATGTAGAATTTTAAAACTGTACTGTACTTCCACCATTATCAGTCAGTCAATTGGCGTACGGGAGACACTTGGACGATCATGTCTCTTTCAATTCACAACTGACTAGGCAGAAGATTTTCCCGTGTTAGGTAGCCATTTTTGTAGACCGGTTGCCAACCAATGCTAAAGAACTTAGTCTATTCTGCTATTCAACTCATAGCTGGGAGGAGAAACGATTAATTCAAACTTTTCCCAACACTATTTGTACCTAAGTGAGTGTAACAAACCCGACTGGAATTCAAACTCTCCGATTTCTCATTACAAACACTAATGGACAACACTGGTGCCTATGTAGAATTTTAACACTGTGCTGTACTGTTCAAAATAAAACGTTTTCTGCAAATCGAGCAATAATTAATAAAGTTATTAACAATTTTAAATGTGGAGATTCATTTCACCCACAGTGTAGGCTTCATATTAGACGTATAATTGCGTCAACAGCAGCGGAAGTATTAAGTGAATCAAAACAAATTAAATATCTTGTCAGATAATCAGCCATATAAATTCATTGCGAGAGTGCCGAAAAAATGGCTGACGTATAGCTTAAAATTCGTAGATTTCTGTACAAACATTTTAAGAGGGTTTCACATCGAAGCATTAAACGGATAAGTCGAAAAACGGACATTGTGGTCGTTGTTTCGACTCTGACTAATGCCATTATTATTGTTAGTTTCCTCACTTTTGTGTTTCGTCTTTGTCAAAGAAGTGATTCTAGCGGCAAAGTTTTTGTAAACCTTTCTATAGATTTGTAGTAAGCTTTTCCGCCCCCAACATTAAGAAACAATTGCTTTTCTTTTCCCCTCTCACTTTTCTTTTTTCAGGATAATATTCTGATTTTTTTTTCTTTCTTTTCAGGGGTTGGGGTCGGATCAATGGGATAATTGCTGATGGAGAAAATTAAATGAAGCAGATGCTCAAAGAAAGAAAGAAAGAGAAAAATAGATATATTTCTAAGGCTTATCAAAAGAAAGAAGGAAAGAGAAGAAAGAAAGAACGAACGAACGAAAGAAAGAAAGAAACAAAGAACGAAACAAGGAAAGAGAAGAAAGAAAGAAAGAAAGAAAGAAAGAAAGAAAAGAAAGAAAGAAAGAAAGAAAGATGAAGACGTGAGAAAATATATATTGGTAAAAGAAAGAATGTAAAAGAAAGAAAGAAAGAAAGAGAAGAAAGAAAAAAAGAAAGAAAGAAAGAAAGAAAGAGAAGAAAGAGAAGAAAGAAAGAAAGAAAGAAAGATGAAGACGTGAGAAAATATATATTGGTAAAAGAAAGAATGTAAAAGAAAGAAAGAAAGAAAGAAAGAAAGATGAAGACGTGAGAAAATATATATTGGTAAAAGAAAGAATGTAAAAGAAAGAAAGAAAGAAAGAAAGAAAGAAAGAAAAAGAAAGAAAGAAAGATGAAGACGTGAGAAAATATATATTGGTAAAAGAAAGAATGTAAAAGAAAGAAAGAAAGAAAGAAAGAGAAGAAAGAAAGAAAGAAAGAAAGAAAGAAAGATGAAAACATGTGCAAATGTATATTAGTAAAATAAAGAATATCAAAAACGGGCATAAGAAGTAAAAAAGAGAGACAAGGAAAGAAAGAAAGAAAGAAAGAAGGAAATAAATAAAGAAAGAAAGAATAGATTTATTTCTAAGGCTTATCAACCTTTGGAACGTTATTTAAACAAGAAAATATTTTTAGATTGTAGGATATTTTTGGTGATAATGATTTATTGATAAAATTCCTGTTACTTTACCCATAGCTGGGGGATGGTTCCACTCAGACTGTTTTTTATACCAAGAACTTCTACACTGTGGAACAGACTACCGCATAGATGTTTCACCAACAGCCTAATCTCAACCTTTTCAAGTCAAAGGTCAGTCGTTATCTATCCTCCTTATTCTCATAGTCTTCATTTCCTTCTGATTAGTCTTACATTTATATCACATGGGTCATTTCGTAATCCTCTAACCTAATTGGCTCTTGAGCTTTATAATGGTTAACGTTAGCATAAAAAACAATATGAATGGCACAAATATTTTTTTCTGATTCTAAGTTGCATTTTTACCTTGCTTAAAATGTAATAATATCGCCGAGCTGTATAATAATAATACCAAACATAATTTATCGTATTTAATATTACATTTTATTCAACACCGGACTTCGTCAATTACTATCGACCATCTTATGACGTCCCATAAGCCTTTTTCCGTAAACGTAGAGCTTACTTAATCATCTGCGATGTCTGAAAGGCTGTCCTTGCCACCTCTCGAGTTGGTGTTTATATATCTGTCATATGTCTCTTTCCAACGCTTGAGTTCATCTCAGAGCAAATCAAATTCCCTTGATGATCTGTTGTGACACCGAATGCAATGCCTATTCTGCCATTTCTTTTGGTAATTGTTAATCCAATACATTGCCTAAGAGCCACCCAAGCTAGATGAGTTACCGAATGAATTGTACGAAGGTAACAGATGATGTAAGAAAAGCATGAGGACATGAAGGAAAGATAACGGTCGACTCTAAACATGAAGAGGTAAAGATTGTGGTGAGTGGGGAAGGATCATCTTGAGAGCTTGCTCTACAAACCAGCGGAACAAGTTCTTGAGAGAATGCTTTCCAGATCACTGCAATCAATTCATTTTTTATGGCTTATCAACCTTTTACAGGTTATTCAAAGCCAGAAAATATTTTTAGATTGTAAGATTTTTTTTTTTAGATAAGAATGATTTACTGACCCATATCTTACTAAGGAAGCCATAGCTGTGGGAGACGTGGATTTATGCATTTCCCATATCTTCCTAAGGGTATATGCGCGTAAGGATATATAACGAACACAACGGGAATTGAAACTCGGCTCTCCGATTATCAATCTCGAGCCATTATCAATTACACCACCCATACATCCCAGCTTACAGAATCTGGTATTGTCAAGTGGTCACCTTTCTAGATACTGACCAGGCTCGACGTTGCTTGAGTTCGGTGATCGTACCGGAACTGATTAGGTCATTTGCAGTGGTGTGAAGTAATATGAATCTATTTTCGAGGTGTATGATGAAATTTGTTTGGCCTTCAAAAATATTGCGTCAACCGTGATTGCATCAAATTGTTATCACACGCAGATACTATTGTCTCGACTGTCGATTAGTTGTCATATAGCCATCGTCTGCGATGGACGTTACTGCAAGGTAGCAAACGAAAATTGTAAAGCTGCACGAACACACAGGCAAGCCTAACCAGTGAGCAAATCAAAGTACTATAGACTGACCCAGAAACTCTCCTGATTTAAATCCAGTCGAGAATCTGTGATCAATCTGTAAGGAAAGACTTCATGGAATAGACATACGAAGTACTAATATGTGCACTGGGTCAGGTTTTATTGGAAAAATATGAAATAAAAGTAAATAATAATCGAATTAATTTGCACAAGGGTATACATATATATATATATATATATATATATATATATATATATATATATATATATATATCACTTTTCGTGTGTATATATCTAATACGTCTGCGTGCTTATGTATTATAATAATGTATTGTCTTTTGCAAGATGTCATCCTCCCCCTGCCTATATTTAGAATTCAAATGTATCTGTGTTGTCATGAAGTTCAGAATAACAGTTGATTTTAACGTTTATTCCAACTTTATTTCAATAAAAACAAAATAAATAGAATAACATATCTATTTTTCTTCTTTCCTCAGTAATTTTATAATTTTAAACCTAATAGAAATGAAATTTAAATTTTAAAATGGTTAATTTTATTTTTTTAATTTCAAATTTTATCGTATAATTTAATACTTATTAGTTAGAATAAATTCCATTTTAGTCTAACCCCAACATTAAGGTATTAAATAGTTATTATAACCTTAGTTTGTTGTCAAGTTTTTTGAATTCTCGTATACTTGTATTTTGATTGGTCATTCCAGCTTATGTAACAGCGTTTCCCTTAGCGAGGGGTGGTTAATTAATTTGAACCTTTTAAAATCCTTTATTCTATATTCAACATCATCACTTGATAAGACACCAGAGGTGTTGAAACAAAATGGCTATTTTTGTAGTGATTTTATAACATATTTATGTTATAATTTTCAAATATATATATATATATATATATATATATATATATATATATATGAATTCTTGCATCAGATTGCCTTCATAGCCTTAACATGTATAGCAGCTGTCGCATTAAAAAAACTATCGAAGATATGGGATATAACTTCGAAACTCTTTGATTTTTTTTTCGATCTACGCTAGTGTTTAATGATCATGAAGTGGCGATCTGGGAGTTGCCATAAATATCAAGTGAAATTAAGATACGAAGAAATACTAGTTAAAAATTAATAATAAACATTGTTGTTGTTCTCGTTGTTGAGGAAGAGAAGCGGCGGGGAAGAGAGTCACATGACTGTCATGTTGATGGTAATGGTGACAACATTGATGAGACAATGATGACTTTGTTATAACGGATTCAAGTAGATGTTTTTAAAGGATGTATTTTTATTTTATTTTATTTTTTTTTTTTTGTTCCGGTGTCGACTCATTTTGCTCCTTGCATCGCCGGAGGTAGTTCATAAAAGAAAGGAAAGGAAAGGAAAGGAAAGGAAAGGAAAGGAAAGGAAAGGAAAGGAAAGTAGGGGGCAAGAAGAAAGATTGAATGGAACGAAAACAGGTGATTTACGAAAACAAAAGAAGCGGGAAAGGTAATGGGAGAAGGTTCTAATCATTCGTGCACGTGCAGTGAACACCGAGGAGAATTTAAATTTGCTGACAGTCAGCGAAAACAGCAGCGAGAAGTAAACGGAAAAAAAATCACAACGACTCCTGTTACAACAGCGATCACGACCACAAAAACGGCTACAACTACAACTACAGCCTCGTGACTGAGAGAGTTACGTATTTCCCACTGTTTTCAGATGCCAGCGTCCAGGGGAAAAAAACCCAAAAAAAACAGTACTTTCTCCCTATGAAGATTGGTGTAATACAATCTTCCAACTACTATCTGGTTTGAATTAAACTCAGGAGAGATCATGAATATATCCTGAGTTTTTAGTTTGATACGGAACCAGGCTAAATTCGTCTAGGAAGATTATGTTGCACCAGCATTCTCAATGAGAAGAATTCTGATTTGCAAAATCAAAATTTGATAGTTTATAAAATCGCCTTGCCTACCCAATATTTTTAGGTTTGAGTTGAAGAACATGATTTGTTTGTAATAAGGAACTCATTTATACGCATCTGTACTCAAATTTAATTAAATCTTAAACAACTCTACAAATGACGTAAGTGTGACTGAAGCAGCTAAAAATAGAAGAAAAAGACTTACTAAATACGGTATTTTATACTGTTTTCAACAGTTTTACCAATTTTATTAGTTTGGTCACATTGACGTTACTTTCTTTATCTATGCAACAAACATAAGCATAAGAAAATGTAAGCAATTCGAGTACTAAATCCTGCATAAAAATCTAAAAATACTAAATACTAGGCAAAATCCACAGTAGTTTATTCTTTTAAAAAAAGCGTATATCTCATCAGCTAATAGTTACTAAGACACCGTAGGCAACCAGTACGTGCACCTAGTATAACTGTCTAATAATATTTTGTAATATTCTTTACTACTACTACTACTACTAATAATAATAATAATAATAATAATAATAAACATAATGATACTGGAAAAATTGCAAGAGACGATGTATTAATCTTAGTGGAGCGTGGATTGATTACTTTTGATCTTGCGCCACTCTTGGATCGTTATGACATGTAAGAAATGTACAAAGTCTCCTCCGTGGTAGAAAATTTCCTTAAGCACAGCATGAGAATGTGGAACACCACACTATACCTAAATCACACCCGAGGCATTGCCATCTCCATCTCAAGTCTGAATATCCAAATGTGGAATCTTTCAAGGAGACTCCCTGTCAACCCTTTTGTTTTGTATGTCTTTAATTCCCCTTACGCATGAATTAAAAAAATAATAGCTATGGTTATAAACTAATAAAAAATTATTCAACCACCTACTCTACATGGATGATCTCAAAATCTTTGTCAAAAACGACAATGTATTGAAGGGCCTCCTCAATATTGTAAAATTTTTCAGTGATGACATAGATATGGATTTCGGATCAGATAAATGTGCAAAAGTAACATTCAAGAAAGGGAGAATTACAGAAACACACCCAACAGATTTAGATTTTGGCAGAAAGATTCGAGAAATGGAACAAGATGAAGCCTATAAGTACCTAGGAATTAGCGAAGGAGATGGAATACAGTATCCCCAAATGAAGAAGATAAGAAAGGAGTACTACAGGCGTATGCGTCTGGTACTAAATACCGAGCTGGATTCAAACAACAGAATATCAGCCATGAACAATCCGGCTGTCTCTGTGGTGCAATAGAGTTTCAACATCCTTAACTGGACCATAGCTGATATTAAGCGAATGGACGCCAAAACCAGAACGCTTATCACTTGCCACCGCATGCATTATCCCAAAGCTGATGCTGATCG